GTCAGCATACGGCCTCACGAGGCATGCCCTCAGGCATTGCCAATCGGCGCCCCGAGTTGCGTCTGCAGCATCCTCCTCCGCCCCGCAGTGCCTGCTCGCCGCCCGAACATTTGCGACGGCCGCCGCCGAGAACAAGATCAATGAACTGCCGAGGAGGGACGACACGTCGGAGCGGCCAAGATGGTCTTACACACCCGAGGGCATGAAGGCGCCCTTCTCACCGCACATCACCATCGACCCCAGGCGCAAGGTCTGGAAGGTGAACAACGACCCCAAGGTGCTGGACGAGATGTACGTGCGGTTTTTGGGACGGGGCGGAGACAGCATGTTGCCTGAGGAGGTCAAGTGGCTGGCGGTTACACACAAGAGCTTCGACCAGGGCCGCAGAGGTTTCAACGACAGGCTGGCATATGTCGGTAGGTTTTTTCCTCTCAGTGATCTGCTCTGGGCCTGGGGGAATTGGGAGGCTTGAAGCGAGAAAAAGATTGGGATCAAGCTGACTAGGGGTTTGCGTTCGCTTCCAGGTCGTCAAGCCATCATCTTCGAGACCACAAAAAGCATAGTGGCGGCAGAGAAGGAGGGCGCCATCGTCCCAGACGAGTATGGCCGTGAACCGTTCCAGCACCCGGCCCTGGCCCAGGTCGATAACCTCAACGTCGAGATGCCGGTCAAGGTCGTCAACAAGGAGAAGATTGAGCAGTTGGCCTTCGATGCGGGCATCGACAAGGTTTTGCGGTGGAAGCCGGCAAAGGTAAGCGCCGATCTCACAAACCGTCTCATGAGGCATGCACCCTCTCAGGGGCGGAAACAAACACACGTACACGTACACGTATGGCTAACGCAGAAACGTTCCTCAGCCTGAAAACCTTGCCGGATCAGGTCAGCAGATTGTGCTCAACTCGGCAGTCTTTGCCATTGTAGGAGCCATCAACCTCCAGCACGGCGCCGATGTGGCAGGCAGAGTTATCAGGGAGAGAATATTGAAGCCGCTCTCACTCAGGCAATAACGCCGAGGGAAAAGAGAGACGTCTGTTGTATCATAGGTGTAAAACATTGACGAAAAAGATATCATCCCAATAACGCAACGCAATGAGAGAGACCGACGAAGTCACATTTCGTCACCAACTTTTTGTTTCTTTCCCCTTCGCATGACGCTGTGCCGACACCGGGCTGTGAGGAAGTTGTGGTAGCAGACAAGGAAGCCTGCGAACAGTTATAGAAACCTACCCAAAACGAGGCCAAGAGGAGAAGCATCGACGCTCGCCACTCATACCGTTAACGGCGCCGTGGTCAGGTGCATGACATGGGAAATCTTGCGGTCCGGAGGCTGCCATGCCAGCTGGAGCACCCGGCCTGTTGCCGACGAGTCGAGTGCTTTCTGCACGGTGGTGCTGCGGAAACGCGTGCTCATCTCCACCGTGACGAGGTCGTCGACCACACGCTGTTCTACGTCTTTGCTATGAACCAGAGTTCTCCTCACTTCGCTGTTGCTAAAGGTCCTCATCAGCATGCGCGAGTGCGACGCCCAGTCGATCATCTGCATGCCCTCCTGGCCAATCTCGCCCGCGACGGCATGGATGTAGCCCTCGCCCAGTGGACGGACCAAGTCTGACGTATCAGCGGTGCACAAAACAAAGCTTTTGAGAAAGGCCAGCGATTCGCTCAGAGTGGCCATCCCGAAGCCGGGGTCTGGGTTGACGTCCTTGATGCCCTGGGCCCCGTAGTGAGCCACGCCCTCGTGATTGGGATCGTAGGCCAGGAGGTCGCTGGCAAGGATGGCCACCGAGCGGGTGGCCCCTTGGTAGAGGACGAGGTCCCAGTCGGGGTTGATGTAGATCCGGTCCCACGCCGGGTTTCGCTGATTCAAGGACGGGCAGCCGTGGCTGTCAGGATCGGGAGAGCGCATGGGCAGGTGGATCCTGAAGAAGGCCAGCGCCTCGCGGCGGGATTCGGAACACACGCGGAAGAGGACGGGGCTCCTGTTCTCGCAGTACCAGTGGGCGTGGCATGCAACATTGCCAAACTCGTTGCCGGAGGTCTCACTGCCGGGCACGTTGCAGTCCATGGAGCCGCGGATCACGACGATGCGCGGCCAGGAGAGGCACATGAGCCATATCCTGCAACGCAACTCGTAGGGCAGTTCCGGAAAACGGTGGAAGACTGTGGTTGTGTCCGCGTTGATGTCTACGGGGGACGCCAACGGGGACAACGGGGACGAGGGCATCAACACCGACGATGAGCAAGGCGAAGTAGCTGTTATTATCGGCTCATGTCCGGATGCGGCAACCCATGTGCGCAGGTCAAACCCTCTACAGGCTTGCAGTGCCTTCCAAGGCGTCGGGGGCTTCACCCGCGCGGCGGACGGAGCAGGGATGGCCGTGGTTCGTTGGGTTTGATGGGCACCATGATCGTGCTCGGTCTCATCCGCGGCGTCATAACCATCATGTCTTTGCGAAGAGCCAGGTTGGTGGGTTGGGCGGACGTTCAAACCTATCGGTCGATGTGAGGGAGACGACGTCGAGCTCGAGCTTGGTAAGCCGGCCGTATCAACAACAGCGTTATGAGTTGGTTCCATTAAGGGGTGGTGGTGAAGCTTGGCGGCGGACAAGGTTGGACGTCAAGCAGAGTGTAAAGGCGTGACAGGTTCGACGAACGCCGACAACGGCGCTAGCAACGGGTCGGACGACGGTTGGAGGGCGGTGGAATAAGCCGCGGACGCTAGAAGGTGTCAAAGGTATCAAATGGGTGTGCAGGCGAACGAGGCCCCGTGTCGGGAGGGTGCGGCAGCGTGGTGCGTCCGGTGTATGTCGTAATGTTGGCTTCAGTGTGGGGAAACGCAGACGGGAGGCAAATGGGAAAGGAGGCTGTACAGCAGTTGGGGCAGACGGCGTGTTTGACAGTCGAGCAAGGTTCCTTGAGAGAGTCGCGGTGTGTTTGTGCTTCATGATACGAACTCGGACACGATGAGCAGGTTCCCCAATCAGGCAATCAGGCGGGGGATTCGAACCGGAAGGGTACGTACCGCGCCAGGCCACTGGACCGAAGGGAAGAGCCTCTGTGGCTGCCGGTAACGGGCCGCCGTTAGTTGGGTAGCTGCCAACTGGCTGACTAAGGCTGGTGAGCCAACTGACTGTGGCTCTGTGGCTCTGTGGCTCTGAGAGCACTCTCTGCGTTCTAAGACATGGGCGCTGCAATATGGATGGAGACATGTCAAGTGTCAAACATGAACCATGAGGTGGCAGGTAGGCAAGTCCCAGCAACCCGAGTACGGCTCGTTTTTGCAGGGTCTTTCCTCTCTGGGAAAGGTCTTGCGGGCATCTTGCGAGCCTTTCTTTTTTTTTGAGAGGCTGGAGCTGTCAGAGTGGCTCAGGGACCCTGGGGCTGGTTGTCAGAGAGTGACTTGTTGCATGGCGCCTGAATGACGCTGTGGCCCACCAACACAACACGGCCAACACCAACACCGTGGGACACTAACACCGCTGCCTGGTCGTTGCGCTCCCCGAAGTACCTTCCCGATGGAGGGGGCTTGACGTCTTCACGCCTGTCTCTACGTCTCTCTCTCTCGTCTCTGCGTCTGTGTTCCTTGTCAGATCGTGTCACATCACCAGCCCTCACTGCCGCCACTGAGGAACCGTTGTTGATCTGAGACGGGGGTGGCCCATGGACTGTTTCCTGTCTCTACTGCGTAGTAATGTCGAACATCCATGGAGCAAACAGCTTAATTCGTCAATTACATCAGCAACCACGGGTCAGCGAAAAGTGTCACTTACACCCGTCGACCAATCACCGAGTCACCGCCGCAACGTCACTCGACCATCTGAAACTCCCATCGTGGGCCACTGCTTGACAATCGTGCTTCTTTTTTTTCTCTACTTTTTCCTGCGCACCATATTGCATGGCAACTCTGCTCATCCCTTCTCCCTGCACATGTCACCCTCATCCACACACACCGTTAACCACCTTCTCCTATGACTGACTTGCCCCAAACAGTTCGTATCTCGTACACGTATTCAGCCCAACCTCGCATCGCACACACCTACTCTATTCAACCTTGTTTTGCTTCTCTCCCACTCGGTCTCTCACTCTACGCTTCCCTCTCTGCCGGGTCTCGGACGTGCAACCCCTGCAGACATAACTCTAACTACCCTCTTGGGCTCTCTCCAACCATACATAGTACATACCAACACGACAAGCCTTTTCCACCGTACTCTTTAGCGTTCGGTTGACACATCTCTATAGCCTAACTGTAACCTCCTGGAAACACTCTTGGCTCCGGGAAGCCTGCCCGTCACTGACAGAACTCTCCAACCCCCCAACCCCGGTCCCCCGTTCCGACCACCGACGCCTACCTATGCAGTCTCTTCAACACCGGATGTAGTAGTAGTACATGACACCACGTAACGCGCAAGCCACCTTTGGCTGCAGTAGAAGTTGCTTCTGACGTCGTGGGACTGTATGTGCGCCTGTCAGTGGACCACTTTCGGCCCCGGCAAAGAACGTCTGGGACGCTCGCAAGGGGGCTCCTCCCGGTTTCCACCACACAAAGGTGTCCACCTCGGGCGGGCCACACCTGGGCCCCCGGTTGTAAGTCAGTCAATCACTGCCATGACCGAATGGGCCAATGGGATCTGTAAAGCAGGCGGAATCCCGCCGCAGAATGGACGACACACACCCCCTGGGGGCTTCCGGAGGGCTCCGTATCACGGTGATCGTCACTCCATGTTTTAGACCCGAGATCCTACTCGACGGTGATCCATCTCTCCTATATCTCATCGTTCATCCCTCGGCGTTTCGATCCCGGTTCTTCTGTTTCTTCACCTTATCTGGTATTCTGTACCGGCTAAATCGACATAAACCCCTTTTCTATCATCACGACTGCTGGCAGCCTCCTTTTATCTGTTTTTCGTATGTGCTTATTAGTGATACCCAGAACCCTTTCGTTTTAATGTCATCGTAGACGTTTGGTCATCTACCACCTGTCCACTACAATGGATTTCACCATGGAGATGAACAACAAGATATCACCATCAGAAGAGGCCCCGGAGAGGCAGCCTCCTCCTCCTCCACCGCCCCGGAACACTCTGACCACCATCATGATAGGCTTCCTGATGGTCTTCTCCATCTTCAGCGTCGGCAGGGAGATCAGGGACCAACTGTACCCGCGTCCCAACATCAACAGCCGGACAGTGACAAAGCGGGAGTTGACCTCGTGGGACCAGGCCCTCGACTCCATCGTCTCCGCAGAGACGATCGACGCGCTGGGCAGCGACCCCAAGCTGCGACGGACACTGATGTCCATGGTAGACTTCACCGTCGACCTGTCGGATACCCTCGCGGCCCGGTATGAGTCGCCCCAGCTCGACGAGACGAAGCAGCTCCTGCAGGACTACAAGGAGAAGGTCAAGAGAAGCCTCGAGGGCTTGGGCGAGGCGGTCGACGAGACAGCAACAGAGGACTCGAGATCGGTCAAGAGACAATTTGGCGGCCTTGGTGACCTCTTCAGCTCGGCGGCCAACGCGTTAACCGGCGGGGCGACAGCACAAGCGAATGGTGCTGCTGGTGCCGCTGACGGAGGTGGTGCAGCTCCTGCTGCCCCTGGACTGCCTGGACTCCCAGGTCTCCCGGGAGCTCCTGCTCCTGGAGGAGGTGCAGGAGGTGGAGGAGGTGGGCTTCCTGGTCTGCCCGGGCTCCCAGGACTCCCGGGAGCAGGTGGTGGTGGTGGTGGTGCCGGAGGCGGCGACGTCGGCGGCATCCTCGCTCCTCTCCTCCAGCCCCTGAAAGACGGCCTCTCCAACATTGGCAACTCCCTCGTCAAGAACCTCGACGGCCCCGCCATGTTCCTCGGCATCGGCGTCGGCGCCGGCGCAGCCCAGGGCCTCAACCTCTCCTCGCAGGAGAAGACGATGGCCATAGCCGCCAAGGTCGCCGCGGACAACAAAATGGAGGCCACCGGCCTCAACCCGGCCATTCAGAACCTCGGCGTCGGGCTCACCTCTACGCTCATCGGCTCCGTCGACATCTCCAGCCTCGGCGGCAACGTGACGAACCAGCTACAGCCCATCGCCATGTCCCTCGCGCAGGGCCTCGGCAACGGCACCGTCGCGGGCCTCAAGCTCAACGCCAACGCGGCCGTCAGCCTCGAGCCCGTCAACGACTCCAGCATCCCCAACGTCATCGGCACCTTCGGCTTCGGGCTGACAAAGTCCGTCACCTCCAACCTCGACCTCAACTCGCTCTTCAACCAGGCCAGCAACCCCAACACCACGCGGACCATCATGCGCATCCTCCCCGCGGCGGCGTCCGGCTTCGGTAAAGGCCTCGGCCAGGGCGCGACCGTCGGGTTGGGGCTGCAGCCCGACGCGGCGATCCCGATGCAGCAGATGCCCGACGGGCAGATCGACTTTGGCGGCATCTCGCAGACCTTCGCCAAGGGGCTGACGAGCAGCTTCCTGCAGAACGGCACGGCGACGGAGCTGGTGAACAAGCTCGGCTCGTCGATGAACATGCAGAAGAACGGCGGCGGCATCCCCTCCACGATTGACTTCAACGGGCAAAAGATTGAAGTGTCCAAGGTCGCGCAGGGCTTCGCGCGCGGCTTCCTCCAGGGGGCAGGCGACGCGATCCAGGGGATGGGCGGCGTGGACTCCCTCATCAAGGGCAACGCGACGATGCCGGCTAACGGACTGCCTGACTCCAAGGTCCAGTTCGACGACTCTCTGGGTGGAGCGGCCAGCGGGTTTGGTGTTGGTATCGGTGGACAGGGTATTCTTGTCGTCTCTGCCCTCATCGCGAACCCGCAAGGCACGCCGATGCCTCAAGCGTCGACACCGGCGCAAGGAGGAGCGCCGGCACCCGCAGCGCCAGCAGCGACGCCGAGTAACCCTCCCCAGCGCCGTGGACTCGGTCTCGTCCCGCGCCAGGACAGCCAGAACGTGCCCCCCGTGGTGTCCGTCAACACGACGAACGGCTTCAACCTCTCCGTGGTGATCAACGCGCAAACAATCTCCATGGCGGCGCAGGCAGGCGTGAATGCCTTGACGTGTCAAGGTATCGGCGGTCTGGGGCTCGTCTTCCTGGGTCTGTTGAAGAGCAAGACTGTGGCATTGGACCAGTTCAACAATAACGGAAACGTGACAAAGGTTCTGAAGCAGGCCATCCCGACGGGCATCATCAAAATTGCGAACGATGGCAACTTCTACGCCATCGACGGCGGCATCGTCCGGGACTCTTTGGGCAACAACATCATTGGCGCTGCGAGTGGCGTGGAGATTAACGGGATGAAACTCCCAGGATGGATTGCTTTCCTCGTTCTTCACAGTGAGTATCCTTCCACCAACTGAAAGAAAGATCCGTGTGGCTAATCATACGTCCAGTCCTCTTCGCCATCGTTGCCTACATCAACGTCCTTCCCCTCGCCATCGGACTCGAACACGCGCGCAATCTTCTCATCCGCATCAACGTTCCACATATCCTCCCCAATGTGCATAGGTGGAACAACATCATGTGGCTGTTCATCATTGCGCCATCGACGATTGTCGTCCTCATCTTCGGTGTCCTGATCTTTGGCCAGTCGGGCCACTTCCGCACTGCCCACGGAGTACGTCCCATCCCTTCTGCGAATCCCCTAAAATATCTACTGACATGCACGACAGATCATCAGCCTCCTCACAACCCTCGTCGGAATCGGCGCATTCCTCCTCCACCTCGCCATCAAAGCCCGCGCGCCTCCTCCCCTCCCCAACGCTCGCACCCCACCAATCCCCCTGACCGCCCTCCCAAACATCAGAGTCTACGTCAACCAGCTCTTCCTCATCCTCTCCTTCGCCTCCGTCATCAGCGGCTTCGCAGACCTGTCCTCCGTGGCGCTCTGCTTCACGCAAGTCGTCCCCTTCGACCTGGCCCTCATGCTCGGCTTCGGCCTGTCGACCGTCTTCGTCCTCGGGTCCTCCATCTCCGGGCTCGACATCGCGCTGACATTCCGCGACTTCCTCAAGCGCCGCAAGGGCGAGAAAGATATCGGCGCCATTGAGGGCGGCAAGGGCGTGATGAACGGCAAGATCTCACAGCCAGTGGTCCGCGAAGAGAAGCTCAAGGGGAAGAGTTTTGCATGATTGATCCTCCCCATCAATGCGAGGCTTGAGCTGGGCTCAGCCTCGCTGTATTTCTTCTGTACATATACCGGCGGCGTACATGTTTCTGGGATGGGACGACGGGGCTATAGGTCAGTGGAGTATGGGATGGAAAAGACTGGTTGAAATGCCTGTACAATGACGGATATGTATGAGATCATGGACACGGATATACTCCCTATGTTGTGTTGTGCTGCAGAAAAAGGGCGGCCTTTACTCTCCTTATACCCAGCTTGCTTCAGGAGGCAAGCCAAAAATTGCATTGTTGGTTCCCAAACATGCAGAGAAATTTACTGTGAATACTGGTAATGCACAAAAGTGGACTGGTATTCCTTCCTAAATCTTGCTATTGGCCTGTGATCAGTTTCCCAGGCGGCGGTTCGAATAATGCCTGCGCGCAGATATGTGACCCTTACCAATCCTTCTTCAAACGCCATTAGTTCATCAACTTATCCATGAAAGTCCCCTAATCCTCGTCCCACAGGTGCCAACTGCTGCTCGGGCGCACCTCAAGCGCTGACCTCCTCTTCTTTCGCGGGCCAGCTACCTCTCGTCCATTACTCAGGAAGAACTCTTCCGTCTCTCCTCCTGGGATCTGCCTGACCATACCCAACCCGGCGAGGTCCGTCTTAGTGCACTTCATCCGTAGATGGCGGAAATACTTGCGGTAGAACATTCTCTGCATCACCAAATTTTCCGCCACTTTATCGGGCAGGTAGTCTCCAAGCTGTGTACGAAGTGCCTCGAGTGCGTTGCGCTGATTCGCCGCATCCGGAGGCTCGTAGTCGTTGCTGAGAAGCAGTCGGGGTACGTCATGGTAAAATGCGTCCTTCGCGGGGATTCCGCTCGTTAGATAACCCTCGTGAATCATCCACACTGGAAACCGTGCAGCGGCGCGGTCATCCATCAGCTGAATCGCCTCTGTGTAAGATTCTAGGTTGGCCAAGCTCTTGGACAGCGGTGCGCACCCCGGCACCGGCGTCAGATCCCATGTCTCCGGCCCGCCTCTGTCACGAGTGCCGAAATGGCGGATGCCCACACGCAAAGGGTCAAAAGCGAGACAATCGCTCAGGAAGATATCAAGCGGAATCTCGCTGCTCCAAGGGAAGGTAAATATGACTGTATCGTACTCTGGATTGATGATGACAGGCCAAGCGATCTTATTCGTTGGGTGCATCGGCAACTGCACGCGATAAAAGACACGTGTCTCGGCACGGCATTCCCGGTTCACCCACATCAACGCAGGAAGGGTGTTGTCTGCGCTCCATGCAATGTTGGATGCAAGATTTCCCAGGGCATTTGGCGCGAAATGGATCTTCTTCAGATCGTTCATGCACCGAATCTCGACAATGCGGGGCCGTTCCAAGTAGAAGCGGAGAATTTTGGAACGGAGCTCCGGAGGCAGACGGGAGAAGGGGTGGAATGCAGTGAGGGGTCCGGGGGCGGGTTCAGCTGCACATTCGACCTTGGTGGCTGGGGCGGGAACTTCGGACGGTTCGCTGCACACGGCTTGGGGTGCAGGAGTGCGCGGTGGGTGAGTGATGGTCCATGGTCCGTAAGGCACACCAGAGCGAAACTGGAAGCGGTCTTCGGGCTTCACGGGAGTCGGGGGTCGGTGGAGATCGACATGACGGCGCTGGCCACAGGTGGGACACGGTGCGGAGGAGGATGGAAAGTTGCCGATGGAGGCGCCGACGCTTACGCTGAGGGATGTCGAGGAGGAGGAGGACGAGGATGAGGGCACGGCGGTGGTCTGAACGGTGGTGGAAGTCGCGGCCGAGTGCTGGCTAGCTGTCCCGGCGGTGGAGGGGTCGGAGTCCGTAAGACGATCTGACTCGCTTGGGTGCGCAAGCGTTTCTGATTGCTGCAGTGTTTGGTGACCCGTGGTGGTCTGGGTGCCCCTCTCAACGTTTCCCGCAGGCCCTTGTCCTTCAGCTATTGCTCCACGTCCAGGTGCTACTGCTCCACCTCTTGCTGCTGCTGCTACTGGTGTTGCTGCTCCAGGTGGTGTGGTAGTCGCACGTCGCGGAGTGTCTTTGCGAGGCCGAATGCGGACCGACAACCCTCTAAGCCAAATCTTCTTCCATTTCCTCTTGAGTTGCTGCTGCTGCTGCTGTTGATGGTCTTGGTCCTGCTGAAGTGCCTGCGAATGAGAGCCAGACGGGGCGGCAATTGCATTTCTGTCCGGATCCGTCGCCATAACGGACTGAATCGGGCGTTCCGCCCTCGTCCTTGTCGTGTCGTCTTGGTCGAGGTGGTGGTGTTCCGGGTGAGCTGAGGAAGTTTGATGTGAATCGTTTGAGTGGTGAGATGATGTTTGAGAGACGGTGGTGAGAGGAATGCCCCACGGGATTGGGGGGACGAGGATGTAACGCTCAATGAGCCATTCGGATGCCTGACGCAGGAAATGGGCGTCTTTGGCGGTGTTTCTGCTTCTTCGGGCGCGGGTTCCTGTCGCTGTCGGCGAGTTGGAGTTCGGGTGAGATGGAGGTGAATTGAGGGGAGATGCAGGTCCAGAAAGACTAGAAGAGGGAAAGAAAAGAAATGTCGGTTTGAGCAGGAAAGGCGGTCGCAGTGGAAGTGGAAGTTGGACGGCTGGGCGACGCGGGGGAGGGCGTGGAGGGCATGTTGGTTAAGATAGAGTTCGTCCATGTGCCCGTCCGCGTCTGGAAAGGTCAGTGTCAGTCCAGAGTCGCCTCGCTGCCTTGCTTGCTTCTGCGGTCGGTGTGTGTGTCTCTCTCTGTCCTGACCGGTGTCGTGTCGTGTCTTGTCGTGTCGGTGTCGCCTTCGGGAGATGATGGGCCTTGGTCTGCACCGTGCCTGCTTCTTGGACGGACCTCGGAGGCTGGCTTGGGCCTGTCGCGCAGTGCCTCGCCGGTGCGGAGCGGACGGGAGTGGGCGAGAGTCAGGTTGAGCGGCGGTATGGCCAAGCAACGTAAGTTCGGGTCTCTTGGGGAGGAGGGAGAAGAACGAGAGGCACACGAGGAGAGACGAGGAATTGGCTTTGGGGAGCGCGCGATTGTGCATCAAGGTCAATGTTTTGCATGGCAAGTGCGTGCTGTGCGTTCGTTCGTTCGTTCGTTCGTTCTTGCCGTGTTCTGGTGCTTTTTCTTGGGGGGGGGAAGGCAGGGGTGTGTTGGGCTGCACCTGCACCTTGCTGCACTTGCAACTGCAAACTGCAACAACAAGCCGTGGAAGGTCCAGGTCCAGGTCTATGTCCAGGTCCTTCCTTCCTTTCCCCGCGTTAGTACCACCGCCTGCCACCTGCCTTTCCACTGAGGTGGCTTGAGTGGCACTTGCCCAAACACCTGCCACCCGCTCTAGCACCTCTTGGGCAGTTTGTCCGCCCAACCAGGCGTCGCTTAGCCACAGAATAGCGCCCCGAGTCCGCTGTAGGCGTTTCTTCCATGGCATGGAAGGCCGCCCATGAAGGAAAGCCATTAGAACCGTGCCCCATCTCCACCTCATGCTTCCCAGCGCCGTTACAGCGCCGCCTGGACCTCCCGAGAGCTGAAACGCGCAAAGGGGTATATGCGACGTCTGCTACCAAAGGATGACGCTGACAGCCGTTCGAGATGGAACTCAAACTTGGAATGTTGGCCATGAGCTCGACAGATATCTGATACATAAAACTGGATAACTTCTAGTGCACTGGGGCGGATGCGATTGTAAAAGTACCTTGGATCCAGGGATGACGAACGGGACACGTCTTGCTCAATGGAGTATTCTATGATTTGAAGGAATGTCTTAACGAGTAGACTTAGGCACCATTTCACCCCCGTAGACTGGAATCGGAGCTCCGACTGGACTATCTAATGAACGGATGACACGGCCCCACCTACCTCGCACTTCCGTGCCGTAGTGGGGCGGCTGGTGCCGAAATGCCCCGGCCGCACTCCGGATTGGAACCCAACATCGATCATGGTAAACATCGCACGCTCATAATGCATCAAAATTCATTACATCCAGACTCAAAACGAACAGTTCAAATCTTGCTAAGCCCAAACAGAGTGCCGAATTTGTTCGCACACGCCGAATTTGACCACACGCCGAATTTAGTCCTCCCCACCCTATGTGCCCTCTACGCCGTACAAAATCAATGGAGACTCTGCCAGGCTTTTGAGAAGCCCTTCGTTGCCCGACTGACGCTGGGCGGCCAATCGGCTGACAGGCCAAGTGACCAAGCCGGGCCGAGTAGTAGGACTTCGGTTGCTGCGCCGCTCAGCTGGGTCTTTTGCCAAGAACCCCATTCACATCAAAAGAAGAGACCTGCCCGAGCCCACCAGCTTAGCATCACAAGCAGGCTTACATCTTGGTCATCCATCTGCCAAGGCTGCACAGTAAAAAATTGCATTATTTAAAGAGACCAAACAACAACCAGTGTAGGTTCACAAAGGATCACGAGGAGCATCTCCCACTAAATCATCACTAGGGAAAAATGTCCGACTTGGATCCACAAGCACCCATCACCTGCTACCCCGAGCCTGTCAACTGCCACTGCCCCCACGGCAACTACAACGGCCCGGGCGGCTTCTTCAGGGTTGTGGAGGCGCTTGTTCACTACTACGTCCCGCCGAGATGGGTCAGACAAGTCATTGGTCTTACCCTATTCCTATGGTTCGTCGTTGCAGCCACGAACCGATGGCTGGAGTTCTTCGTGAGGGTGGCCAGGTGCCGTAAAGTCAGAAGATTGGGTGGCGACTGGCCAGCTGCCCTGTCCGTCTTTGGGGACGAGTCTTCCGAGACTGTGAAGCAGAGAGAGGCTTGGGAACAGGAGAGAGTTCGTGAATTGGGTAAGAAGTAGTGAAGGGCTGTCATCAATACGAGGCATCACAGCAAACTTCTACAAAAGACGGTTCATGATTTAGTGCGAAACAAACGCTTTATTTTCTATATCGTCAGAATCATTTCTCAAGTCATCGGTAGCTAAACAGTGGGGTCCAAAGATAACCAATCCACGACCGCTAGCCCTCTGTCGAATAGAAACCGCCCTCCATACAGCTGCCCCAATCCACCGGTCCAAAGAATTATCAAGCCAGGCTCATCGAAAAGATGCCGAGCCGGAAGAAGAGAAAAAGGAAACATCGTCTCGTCGATTTACAGGAGGCCCCCTTCTTACAGGAGGAATGCAACACCGAAAACGATACTGAAGGCCAGGGCGCCGAAGCTGGCAACAGACTGGCTGGAGCCGGCGGTGACAACAGTGGAGGGTGTGCCAGGCGCGGGCGTACCCTGACCGCCGTTGCCGCCGTTGCCTCCGTTGCCGCCGTTGCCTCCATTGCCGCCGTTGCCGCCCTCGTTGCCAGAGCCTCCGTTGCCACCGTTGCCGCCGTTTCCTCCGTTGCCGCCCTCACCACCGGGAGTGGTGCCAGAGGGAGCAGGGCCAGGGCCAGGAGCAGGGCCAGGGCCAGGAGCAGGGCCAGGGCCAGGAGCGGGGGCGCCAGAAGGAGCAGGGCCGGGAGCGGGAGCGGGGCCGGGAGCGGGAGCACCAGTGGGAGCGGGGCCAGGGGCGGGAGTGCCGTTTCCTCCGTTTCCTCCGTTGCCGCCGTTGCCGCCGTTGCCTCCGTTTCCTCCATTGCCGCCGTTGCCTCCGTTTCCACCGTTGCCGCCGTTGCCTCCGTTTCCTCCATTGCCGCCGTTGCCTCCGTTGCCTCCGTTTCCACCGTTGCCGCCGTTTCCACCATTGCCTCCGTTACCACCGTTGCCACCCATGCCGCCAGTAGGAGCAGGAGCGGGAGCAGGGCCAGTGGGGTAAGGAGTCTGGGTGACGGGAGGAGGAGTGACGACAACAGTCTTGCAGGCATCGCCGTTGCAGACGACCTGGGTGGTGGGGGGAGGGGTGATGATGATGTTGCAGGCGTCACCGATGCAGGGGGGAGCGGGCTTGCAGGTCTCGCAGGGCTTGACCTCCTCGCACTTGCCGTCGGTGCAGTCGAAGTGCTTGTTGACGTCGGCGTAGGGGCAGGTCTGGTGCTGGCACGAGCCGTCGGAGCAGACGTACTTCTTGTTGCACTCGTCGCCCTGGCACTCCTCGACCTTGCAGACGTCGCCGTAGCAGATGATCTTCTCCTTGTTGCAGGAGCCGTTGCAGGTGGCGTACTCGCAGTTGCCGTTGGAGCAGATGACCTTGCGGCCGCAGTCGTCGCCGTGGCAGACCTCGGGCTTCCAGCAGTCATTCTCCCAGACGAGGCGGCGTCCGCAGGAGTCGCCGTAGCAGGGGTAGTCCCACGTGCACCAGTCACCGTAGCAGACAAGCTTCTTGTAGCAGTCGTCACCCCAGCAAGGCTGTCCAGGGACGAGGGGAGTCTTGGGCTTGTAGCAGAAGGGGCCCTGGCAGTCGGCGCAGATGGGGCAGTAGGTGGTGGTGACGACCTCGACGCCGGTTCCGGCAGTGCCAGTGGTGGTGACGGTGAAGGTGGTGGTGACGGTGGCGGTGGTGAGAGCGCCGGTGCCGCTGGCACCATCGACGCGGACGTAGATGGTGAAGCGGATGGTGGCGGCGATGATCTGGCGCTTGAGGACGGCCTCGGAGGCACGGCCACCGCAGCGCTGGGTAGGGTTTCCGGGGCAGGGGATGTTACACTCGTCCTCAATGACGGCAACCTCGTTGACATCATCGACGAAGTCACCGCAGAAGCAGTCGTTGCCAAAGAGACCGGCGTAGCGCTTGCCGGCAGGGCAGGCAGCAATGCAGCGGTCGATGGTCATCACCTCAGCGGAGAGAGTCAGTTCGAAGGTGGGGAAGCTGGAAGGAGAGCCAAAGCAGCCCAGAAGAGTGAAGCCGCCAACGTTCTGAGGGTTGGGAGCGACGGTGGCGCTCGGGGTGGAGGTGGAGTCGGTTCCGGTGGCCGTCTCAGTGCCGGTGGCAGTCTCGGTGCCGGTGGCGGACTCAGTGGAAGAGATGGAGTCGGTGCCGGTGGTCTCAGAGGGGATGTCGGTGGAGCTGATGGGCTCCTCCGTGCTCGTGATGTCGCTGGTCTCGGTGGCAGAGGGCGACTCCGTGCTCGTCGGGAACTCCTCGGAGGACGTGGCGTCCTCAGTGGGGAAGGTGAAGCCACCATCATCGGTGGAAGCGGAGACAATCTCACTGACGCTGGTCTCAGTGATCGGGATCGCCGTGGTGATGGTGGAGCTTCCGGAGGTGATGACTGTCGGGATGGAGGTGGTGATCACGGTGGTGGAGGAGGAGGTGAGCACAGT